CTCCAATGGACAACGATTTGAATGTCTCCGAACCTATACCAAACTACCAGTAGTAACAGGTCTAATCGCAGCGATTGTTGGGGAGTGCGAGATCGGGCGGGCGTTGAGGATGGTTTTTTCGGTTTCGATTAACGTTTATGTCTATCCGCAATTTCCATGGAGTGGTGTGTACTGATAATCCGGTCCCCGAAGATCAAACTATCGAGTATACGCGTGGACTTGAACAAGCCTTGAACAATCTCTGCATTTGCTGCGCCCTTACATAAGCTACCTGGGTAGTGGCGGCGGTAATTTTTTGATTCTTCCGCCATCACCAAGTCACTCACAGCATTGCATTCTTGCAAAGCTACAGAATACTGAATTTTGAAAAATGATGCTTATACTTTTCCCATCATCACTCTCATACAATCCAGATTCCTCGTCACCTGGACATTACCACCGAGAACTCGGAGATGATCTATTGCCTAACGACATTGATGCATACCCCCCTTGATGGACCACTATGCCAACCACAAACAACCAAACTATTTCAGAGACCTCTATTTTGGTACTTCCGAAGAACTAGACGGCCCTTGAATCCAACTAGTGGGTGATCTAACCCACTTATTGCTATCCCCATCTCTGTCTAACGTTAGGCTCCGTAGGAAGCCCGATCATTCCACGCATGGAATGACCATGGTCCCCATGGAACACCACCCCAAAAAAACAATGCCCGCTTTCTTGTTGAGATACTGACCGGCTTCCTGAAATTCCGGCATCGAACCGTAGAAAGATGTCAAGGGAGTTAACTAACATACACACCGCACCAAGCTCTGACGACTACAGTTGTTTACACAGCAAGCTGACTCCTCCATGAGCGATACTAGGCTTGCCGCCATTTTAGTCGGACACCTTGATCACCAACTTTCCCGTCGTTTTTCCTCCAGTCAGATCCCGTTGGGCCTGTTGCACACCTTCGGCTGTGAAGGGATATTCTTTGAAAACATGGATCTTGAGGATGCCTCGTGAAATAAGGTCGAATAGCTTGGTTCCATAATAATGAGCCTCCTCTGGAGTGTAAACATAGTTGTTCATGCTACGGCCAATGTGTGAGTAGAAACTATGACAGACGAATTGGCGACATACGTGGGACGAAGGAGTTTAACATTCTTTTCTATCAACTTCAGGGGCGGGAATGGGGCGACTGCGCCTGATGCATTGCCCACAGAGACGATGGTGCCCTTCCGTCTTATGAGTTTGAAATTGTCATCGAACCTACGCGCAAGTTAAAGCCATCGTCTTGACGTAGATTTGGAAATGCTCAACATACGTGTCTTTGCCAACACCATCAAACACGGCATGCACCCCTTCACCATTGGTAATTTCAAGGACCCGTTGGACTGTATCCTCGACAGGATACAATATAACGTGGTCGGCTCCATTGGCTTTAGCAATTTCAGCCTTTTCCTTTGTAGAAGTAGTACCAATCACGGTTGCGCCAATGTGCCTCGCGAGTTGGGCAAAGAGAAGGCCAAGGCCACCAGCAACTGTGTGAACAAGAATAATATCGCCCTTCTTGACATGATATGATTCCTCAAAGAATGTTACCGCTGTGATAGCTTGCACAAGGCTTGCGGCGGCAGTGAGATTCGATACGGAGGCGGGGACGGGGTATACGTTCTTCCAAGGTACAGATATATATGTCGCGTGGGTCCCCAAGAAATCCTATTCATATTGAGTATCCAATCTTTGGTATATTCGAGGGCGTCCTACCACCGCTACGCGTCCACCAACAGCATAATTGCGTTGCTTGAAGACTGAATGGTTTACAGTACTTTCGTCGCTGGGCAGAGCAACGATCGTCCCAGCCGTTTCTTTCCCCAGAACAGCCGGTAATTCTTTCAATGGGTAGAAGCCCTTCCTACGGAGCCATTTAATCGATCCCTCATATCATCAGTGAACAAATCCCACCGGTAGTATGTGTCGATAAAGTTGACCCCCGCATATTCAACCTACAACTTTTCAGATTCAAAAGCAAGACAATGGGCATTCATGGATCTTACCTTGACAACGATATCCCCCGCATTGACTTTGGGGAAAGGGAGCGTAGTTTTCTCAATAACATCAAAATCCCCGGGCTTTCGCGAGATGAGAGGGCGCGAGCATCACACACGCCTAGACTGACCTTGGAAATTGCTATCGCCTCCACAGTAGATGGGAATGACATGGTAGGCCGTTGGCTGGTTGATAGTTGACGGGCGAGTTGAGATACCCTTAACCGAATATTACGAACAGATGAGGATAACATCATGCTCGCAGGTATACTGATAGGTCAGCACTGGTTCGCACGTCATTTGAAGCTGGTGATCCGGAGCTACTCAAAACATACACATTTTCTCGTCGGGCTGGCGAAGGTATGATAACCGTGGACCAGATGACAATAGATATGATCACGCCACCGAGCCAGCAGGCGGCAAGTCCGGCCGGCGCTGTTGTTGAAATCGGACGGTCATGAACGCGTGTCATGCGTATGATAAAGAAGGAAATTCACGGAATGACATTACCCAGTTGTGAATTTATATGGTACAGGAACACCAGAAAATTATTAGGTTCAAGGTCTCTCTGGGTCGGTCCGACCTGATAGATCGGGAGGTCAGTACCCCAAAACTGTCCTTTAATTTTTCGCTGCAGGGTTGTGGCTGTTTTACAAATGTTAGAGTACTTGCGTATCGAAATGGAGGGAGGGAACAATAGCTGGAGACCGTCCCATCCCGTAACTCGTGACACGAAACTGAAAGTTTATTGGCCATTACTGGGCGCTTCAAGTTGCAATGCAGATATAAGAGCTTCATATATGAGGATAACCTGCTCCCTCCTCTGCACCATCCCAGGCCGCTGCTCGCGTAACGAGTCGATCTCTTGAGACACAAGGTCCTCTTCAAACTGAGGGGGAAGTTGCCCCAGGGGCGACGAGGGCAAGGCGGAGGTTGGACATGGCGAAGCGGGAGCAGGGAGCAAGCCACAGGAACGGAGGAGAGATGAGAGTGCGATGAAGGAACCCGTTCGCCCAATTCCTGCTGAACAGCCGACTATGATTGGGGGATCAGGATCTAATTCAGATTGCGCCGTGCTTGGGGGACCCCGGTTCATTTCGTCTGCAAGGCGCAAAAACGCCAATAAGCTTGCGCGATCTTCGGGCTCTGGGACTCCGTGATCGGGCCAAGACATGTATAACAGATGCTGGAATTCAATACCCTCGTCGTGATTTACTCCATGACTATCCTCTTCCGCCTCCGAAGCGACACCGTCACCACTTTCAATCGGCGGGGATTTTGGGGTGGTAAGAGGGAGGATGGATACTGTGCTCTGGACGCAGCGCGCATCTGCTATCACCTTACGAGCGCGGAGGGTGACCCTGAGAGCGGGAGAAGGGCAGCCACCATCCGCGGGAACGATAAAGGACTGCCCAATGTTACTGGGGAAATATTCGTCGGCTTTCCTGCGGCCACCTTCGACATTCTGGGTCAGTTGAACCACCGTCCGGACGCGGCTGGTCTTCGGGGGTGGGCCGGGGGCAGAGGCGCTGAGCGATTTCGGCGGCTGCGAAATTGGCTGAAGGATCAAACTCAGAAATGAGTGGACAGTGTTAGGTAGTGGCGCCTGTGCCGCGATCCACCACTTGTGTCCGAAGCGCTCGAGCACCCAGCTCGCATTCAAATATCTTCCTTGTCCTGCCTCTCTGCTGGTACCATTGAACTCCTTGCCACAAGCCCCGCTTTCAACAATAACGCGAGTTCGGTCATATGGCTCTAATTCATAATAACGATTGCGAGGGTGATTCTCGGGTTGGTTTCCTATATTTACCGCATAATGATCGGAATCATAGATCTCTTTGGGCTGGGTCCTAGGGATCCTAAAGTTGATGGAAAAGCGCGATGGGGGGCTGTACTGGGTTTATTGGTACCAGATTTACGCCGTGAGGCTGAACGCGCTTGTTCGCGCTTCAACTCGCGCTCAGCTAAAGTCTGAAGTACCTCACTCTGGTATTTCGGTGATTGTGTTCTGGACAGCCAACTGGGAATTCGTGCCGCCATTTCGTTGGTAGATGGGCGATGATCGATATTGGAAAGAGCGCTTAAGAGCGCCAAATTGAGCACTTGAGGAGAGAATGCAAATTGGAAAGGGGTTTTCCCACGGCATTTATCTATATTTATTAACATCGCCAGCCTGGTAGACCAGAGTGTTATAAGACCACGATGTCTGGAGATCTGGTACCACTTCTGGGACCGGAAACGACAATCAAGTTTGTCTGTCGTTCATCAACATCGGCTTAACATCTCAGCCGGTCCCAGAGTTAGCTCAACATTAAACAAATCTGTCGGGAAGAAGTGCCTCATTGATGGCGACCCAGAGACGTGTTGGACGTCCCACAGGTACCCAGTCGCCATACTAAACTCTAAAGGTATCTGACGACGATCCCCAGGGCCTCCCGCAGTTCATTCAGATTGCATTCCCCAGAAAGTTTCCCCCCGCTGGCTGCATTTGACATTCCAAGGCGGTTTTGTCGGAACCCGCTGTTCAATCCAATATCATGCCTCAGACAGCCAGCGGCGGGGGACGCTACCTCTAAGAAGGATTGGCAGCCTCTGTACAATGTATACCCTGAAGACGTTAATCGACGACAATCTTTCGACATTGTCACTGCTGGACTTATTGAACATGGTGCGGATGCGCTGAAATTCATTTTCGAGGAAAGCTCGGATTTCTTTGGAAGAATCACGATCTATGATATGCAATTAGAGGGGGTGCTACTCCAGCCGGAAGTAGAAGAATAGAAATCATAAACCAATTACCAGCTAGATAAATCTATAATTCGTCTTTGTTAGCGGTTATGCACGACTGCCACATGCTCTCGTTTCAGTGTTCATAAACCAATCCTGAAGGTAGAGATAACCGCGCCAGAAGAAAATATCGCAGGAGAATGGTATATTTGCAAACATGGCTGATGGAATGCCAAAAATTGGTTCAATCCAGGATCGAACTGGAGACCTTCTGTGATCAACAAATGTGAGACAGAAATCATAACCACTAGACCATTGAACCGACATCAGATGTGCTAACAGTGCCACCATGATTTTTTCCTGCAATATCCCAAATAGTATTACATGCTCGCCGTATTCCATCAGGAGAGTTCTTCCACCATAGCACCAGCAACCAAGCGAAGAGATCAAACAACAGAGATTACTATAGTTTTTGCCCACTACAACACCCAAAAATCATGCGAGGAGGCGTCACCACTGCCTAGAATAACTCGAACGGCCGCCAGACAGGCACTATATGCCCCTTCTGGTCAATCTCGACCCACCGCTTATTCTCGTTGTCGATATTTCCCATCTTGTCAACCTTACCGAAGGCCCGTTCCCAGCCCAAGCCCACGGCCGCCATTTTACATGCATTTGCACTAGGGGTTAATCGGGTAAGCGTATGGTTTGGATGCGAGTGGGCGAGATTCGTACCCCATGGCGCAAACGATGGCATCGGGGATAATTTCGCCGTCCCACGCCCACATACCACTCATCAATGCAAAGTCGATGACCATGCCCCTGGTGGCCGTAATTCGGGTTTGGTCGTCCAGCATACTGAAATTGTGTTGGAAATATTCCTCCTTGCTCGCCAGGGCCCGCAGGTTGGGGTCCCCGCTCTGCGAAAGCGAGAACGTTTCGTTCGCGAAGAAGGACAGCATAAACTCGCTGAGCGCGGTGGGAGAGTCAGACGCAACATAGGTAACAGGCTTCAGCGTTGAATTCTGCCTCAGCCGGGCCCAGGTGTCTTGGACCGCCCTCACATACTCCGGGATCGGAATATACGCGCCATGATAGTTGAACGAGATGGGCTTTCTGTCCCCATACCGGATATGGGTCGCGATGTATGGTAGGTCCTCAGACTCATTTCGGTCCGGGTTGAGTTTTGCCATGATATTAGCCAATTCCGTGCGTGCCGATCGAATCAGACGGGCGTTCTGAGAGTTAGGCCTGATGGTTTCGGTGAAGGACTTGAGAGCATAATCATAAATCGGGATAAATCGATTCAGCTGGTGTGAATATCTGTAACCGGTGGGTTGATGGATTTACAAATAGATAGAAAACGTACGGGTCCTCATAATGATTGGAGAAGGCATGACCGAAATGGTATTTCGCGGTCCCAGAATTGATGACCTGTGTAATATTGTTATTGGGGAATGGGACAGATGGCCGGCTTATTTACCCAGTGTCTGCACATACTTAGAGTTTAGCCATGCGGAAAGCAAAATGACCATTTACTTACCTAGCGAGTCGGGGGCAAGCCACCAATTCTACGAAGAGATGAATTCGTTCCGCCCATGTCGAGTAGATGGGATTAACATACCTTCTGGGGGAGGGGCTCTACACCCAGGTCTGGACCTGGTTGGCGACTGCGAACATCCTGAAAGTGGTCTGTCCACCTACACCAGAAGTTAGACACTCATTCTCAAAATCCCTGGCAGATTTACCCACTTGCCGCGGTTCCAATATGTATCATCGACCAAGAACGTCCGGTTCCGCTGCAACATACTAAGCTAAACGCATAAAATTTTGTGTGCGTGAAAGCTCACCTCGCGAGCAAGGGCTGCAGCCTGGGCCATTAATGCAAGGTCAGCAAGCAGGCCGACATCACCACCGAGCATGTAAGTGATGGTACTCTTGCACACCGTTGTCATCTCACCCTCCGGTAGATGGTAGTTGGTCATATCGTCATGGTGCACCACATCCAGGGTGCCCATATCATGTGGCTCCCAGTAGTCCCCGTGGGCCATGTATCCCGAATTAAGTTTTCCGCATTCGATAGCGTATTGTGAAGGGAGAAGAGGAAATGTGGTGTAATTCTTGTAAGATAGAATATTGGAATCGTGACTGTGAACGGGGGCGTGGTGGTGGGTGGTGCCACGAGGTCTTCGTCAGGTTTAGATGGCGTCCCGACTGGAGTTGGTGATGGAGTAACCTTGGAACCAACATACTTCTCCAGGACATCAGGTTTTTGGTACGACACAACAGTCAACACGAGGAGCAAGAACGCAACCATGGAGCCCAGAACTAACGGGAGCCGCGATAGCATCACCGAGGGCGTGAGTCCACTCCATGCCTTGTGCTTCGCCCCGGTGTAATCATCTCCTTGATTTCTAAACCCACTCGGAGGGAAACTATCACTGGCAGAAGAGGCAAGCAGAGGCTCCGCCTGCTGCTCCCCCACACTCCTGTAGTCGTCGTCTGTCTCCCGAATGGCCTGCAATTCAATCTCAGTGAGGCCTTCCTCCGCCCTTCCTGAACGCGAGTGCGGTGTTCGCGGTGTAAGTGTATACTCAGTCGAGTTTGGGCGGCCCAGTGCGGTGTTGGTCAGTGGTTGAGGACGAGAGCGGGGCATGGCAGCCCTTGACTGAAGAGTTTCGGGAGGGTCCCGGTGCTTATGGTGGTATTAATTTACTGATGCCAAACACCCTGACAGCGCCCATTGAAACCAACAGTATACTGGTTGCGATCAGTGTCAATTGTCAAACTTTTTTTCCCAATGCACGTGGTCAAATCTAATCATAGCTGTGAGTGCGACCGCACGTCGTTTGTGAATATATGCGCGTCATGTATGGGCAAAGGTATCAATATTGGCATTGGGTACAAGAATCAAACAAATGTGCGCGAGCCCCTTCCTATCCTATTATCATTATGCAGACCCAGAACCGCCGACCGGGAGGGGAACAGGAGCTTTACTAGTCACCGCACCAGGAGCATTTGCAGGCGGGGCGGGTACGCCTGGTGCAGGGGGGCTGGGAGGCTTAGGCGTATTCGGCGGCGCAGATGGAGATGGAGTCCCCGGGGCACTGGCAGGAGCAGACGGAGGTGTGGGAGCAGCGGAGGGCTCCGTGGGAGCAACATCCCTTGCTAGAACGCCTTGGGCAACAGTTGGAACAGGAACAGGAGCCGCGCCTAAGACCGCAGAGATGGGGACTAAAGGAGGATTGGGCAACGAGATGGGCGGAGATACAGGAAGGTTTGACGCCTGAGAGAGAAGTGCACTGGATGCACTGGCAAGGGCACTTTGGATCTGCTCAACAGTGGCGGGACCATCGCCCACAGACTCAGCAGAAGCAGCGGTGCTTGTGGGACATTTGATGGTACCCCCGAGAACCGGTATGGTACCCACCAATGACATGGCACCCGGTATAAGACCCAACATCGGGCATAGAAGAGAGTCAAGAAGGTCATCGCGTTCCTCCAACCCGGCATCTAACATGGCTTTATGAGTAAGCACGAGGGCATCGGCGAGAATCCCTTACCAGGGTATCTCGTTGATAATTTAGGCTGCTCGTCGTCCTCATTATCGCGCAGATCAGAACGCCCAAAAGGTCTCGTAGATGTAGCGTCGTGGCGGGTAGCAAGCTGATGGTTACTACTTGAACTGGCCATGGTGCCCTCAGAGTGTGAAGTGTCACCCGTGGGGGCAGCGAGACTCGAAGATGATGACGATATTGCTAGGGTTGCAAATATAATCGAAGAGCTGGAAGATATCTTCATTTTGTGTGATAGTGTGTGGGTAAAAATCAAGTGTAGATAGGGATGGTGGGGGTTTAGAAGAAAGATGGGCGGGAACGAAAAACGAAAGAGGCGGGGTATTTATAGGAAAAATGAGAGAGGCCGATCGTCGACGTCAGCCACCTGTGGCTGGGATCGTCGACGCATGTGATATTCTTATAAGGTCATACAGCATACTTTTCAGTCAAGGAGCGGCCTAGATTTCACCAGGTACTGACCATGAGTTTCACCGTCCCCGACTTTCCATTTCCCAAATTTCATCTTCTCGGAACCTTCCCCTCCTCCTTGCGCCCAGCCCCTCCCCCGCCCTGGAGCTCAGAACAGCGCACTCCCATAAATTCGCGATGGCCTCACGAATTGGAGTACCCATGCACGAAGAAATCATACACCAGAAGAGAGCCGCAGTGCTGAATAACGCCCATTAGCCGCCGTTTAGAACTGACAGGTGTGATAATTACAAGAGCACCACAAGGACAAGAATAAGAGGCAGTAAGGCTGCAATGCCCTCGGCTTCACGGTTGTTGTTCATGAAAAAGAGTGAGACCAGTGACGTTGGTTGTCCCTGGAGGACCAAATCCCGGATTTCCAACCCGCGCCGCTGAAAGCGGCGCCTAAATGGCAATTTAGCTGGTTAGGGTTTGTGGTTAGGGTTCGGTCGGATTTTAGTTAGCTGTTAGGTTCGGTTAGGGTCCGGTTAGAGTTCAGTTAGAGTGAGGATGGCAATATGTATAGATATACTATAATGTTACAAGAGTACTGGGGAGTTTGAGCTGGGGAAGCCATTCTACGAGATGTGGACTTGCGCCCAAACCGTCGAACATCTTATTTCAAACTCCGCCTCAGCGGCGCGGGTTGGATGTCCCAAATCCCTGTCCTCGTTCCATCTCACCCATCTCGACCTCGATCATGTGGTCGATCTTCCAGAGACATGGTAGAGTCATAAATGGATTAATAACATCCGGCTTTCTCTCCTCTCCCCCGGGGCGCCGGAATACAGCATTTGGAGGCTGTGGGCACTCCACATTGACGAGCAAGCTGTAGCCGCTCTTTCTCCAAGGAGGGGTTCCATGGACTGCAGGTGCCCGAATTGGCTTGCATAATTCCCAGCCATTGGCGGATCTCAGATCCCAACTAGGTTTGAGACGGAGCACGAATCAGAGCGGTCAAATCAGCCAAAAGAAACAAGTGGGTGTGCCCCCTTGTTTCTCTGTCACCAACATCGTATCACTTCGCACACCTATTTTCCTTCGTTGTGTTTTTCCGTCTGAACTTTGGACAAGCTCCCCTCTGAACCAGAAACTCGGAATCCAAGCGAGTGGTATCCACTCTGGATTGATTTGGAAGATTGGGTTGATCAGATTTTGGCCCTATCCACTCTTTCGGTTCTTCCCACCACTCACCGGTTTTCTTCGACCACATATTTCCACCTCTCTCTTGAATCCCAGGACGTTATGGTAGACGACCAAGGCTCCTCGCCGTCAACGTCCAAGACATCGGTAGCTC